AAAGACATCCTCTTAACCCTACACGTATTATCGACCATGACATCCGTGATAGGGAGAGGGAACTCATCTTTTGGACAAGCGAGATTAAGATCACAGAAGTCGATGCAGATTCGGATCATACCGCTCTATTTCATCACTACCATGATGATGGCCAACCAATAAGGATGTTTTTCTTCATGGATAAACCCACACTCAATGAGCTTACAAATTTCCTTCTCGATTTGCTCCATTAACTCAAGACGGAGGCGCCGTTGCGGCTGTTTGACCGGCTTAGCACTGCGGAACATGTTAAGACAATGCACTACCACATTAGGGTCTAGGCCTAAGATTTCTTCATAGCTCCAAGTGAAGACATCAATGTATTCTTGGAGGAGAACTATGAGTTCCTCCTTTTCAGCGGATGATAGACTTTAGCTGATAAAGATGGGCTTAGGGTTGGTTTGTCACCAATGTTGATTTGGGCAACCTTATCTTCGGTGGGTGGTTTGCCCATGAATCATCTTCAGGATCTTCAAACACCTTGGATTCAACAAGATCTGTGGCTAGGCTATATGAAACCATGTTGGTCGTGAATTCACTACATAAGATTCTGAGGCTGACATCAGAATCTTAGTTGGATGTGTCTGAAGAACTACTTAGGAAGTCATCGGATGTTGGTCCTGCTTATGGCCCGACTTCTGGAGAGATGGAACCGAGTCCTAGTTTGGTTCGATTGTAATATTTGAAAGCTTCACTTTCTGGTGTAAAGGAGATAAAAGGGACACGTAGTCCTTTATTGAAATTCAACCCTTATTTTGCGATGAGATCGTATCCCATTTTTACCATAATTTGTTAAGATTGTTGGCTATACTGGGAGAATTTTGGTGTTATCTTAGCTTCTTCATCGGAGTTCTACAATTGATATTGTGACTCAACTTTTCCGAAGATGATTGAGTTCAAAGTGTTTCTTCTGGGCGGAACCATGAAGGTGGTGTCCTCCGAGTTTTCTAGCTGCTTGTGAGCATGGTACGACTCATTTATTAGCATACGCAATGTTGGTTCTAAGGCTAACATGGCCATCAGATTTTTGACTCTTGAGTTTTCAAACTCAGAGAGTAAAGAGTAGTCATAAGGAAACTCTTCTTCATTGAAGATCCAATCGCCTTGACCTTCAGCAGATTGGTCGATACAGAGGTCCTCTAGGGTAATTACAAATGGATCTATCTCCCCGACTGAATCATCAATAGGATCTAGCTCAACATCTGCTTCATTACCGCTATCCTCATCTTTAGGGGGGACAGTCTCAATTGTTTGACTTTCATCATACAAGAGAGCATCAGTGAAGTAGTTTTCCACCCCCTTGAAAAGATACTTTTTAACATCAACTCTGTTGGACTCCTTATTCATCAATGTATCTGAAACACTAATGAAATGTTGAAGGGACGATCTGGTTGGAGTAGATCCAAGGTCGTCCAAGGAAAAGATTGTAGGGTGTTTTGACGTCGATGACGTAACAAGTAACATTCATCTTCAGATTTTTGATTCGGCATTTAAGTCGAATCTTTCCAAGAGATCGGCTGCTGTTGGAGTTGAAGCCGAGTATGGTTGCAGACGTCTTTGAGAGCTTGTGAAGGGGAACTCCCAAGAAGCTCAAGAGCCTTCACGAAATTATGCTCAGCGTGGAGCCTGGATCGATGTGAATCGTCTAGATCATTGATGACCCTATATACCCAGTATAGTAAAGGGGTCGGTTGTGATGATGATCCTTGACCAGCATATCTTCCGGGGTGAAGATAATGTGTGGCATTTGCTTTCAGCATTGATAGCATTGCTCAGGCCCTTCATCTTGAGGAGGTTGGATGATATGGGCCAGAAATGCCTCACTGTCATTCAATACTTCTTTCAAAGCCTCTCTCGTATCCTTAGACAAATGCAACAGTTCAAATAAGGTAATATGAGCTGGAATGTTGGCCAATTATGTCATGATATCATATTTAAATGGGGCCTTAGGCTCATTTGGAGAACGTTGTAAGGCCTTGTCGAACTAGGTCTCCTTTTGTTTGGTTGGTTCGGGTTGTTTGGACGTTCCTGGCTGATTGTAATCCCTCAGGTAATCCTTGTCAGATCTCGTCCCCGTCATGGCTACTTTTTCTGGTTCTTTTGAATTGTAATTAACACAGATTACAATAAAAGAGATACAATGAAATGAAGGAATTTTTTTTCTTGGGTTCTTTTTTGTGTGCCGATGGAGCGTAGATCTTATACTTCGTTGACTCGCCGACTAAGATGATGAGTCTTTTTGCTGTTAATGAGGATTGAATTGCTTGTAAGCTAGCTCAGTCTTCTCTTAGCATTATCTCTCAATGGAATCACAAATGTATAGCTTCGCGTGCGTGTACGTATCTCTGTGTTCGCGCCTGTGTCTCTCTCTCTCTCCTCTGTGTATGTTATAGATGATTTCCTCTCCTTTTATAGGCTAAAAGAGAGAGTTAATGATCCCCTTAATTGTAGATTAAGTGGCCACTAAAGTAGGAGTTAGTAAAAAGCGGTTATCCCCTGAAAATGGCTAACTGAGTGAATTTCGCGGACTTTTGAAATGTATAAGCTCTAGCATCATAAATTCAGTTTGTATGGGAAAAGTAAACAGTAATCGCTTGGTGAATTGGATTCATTTAGTATGTATTCTGTTTTAAATGCATTAGTATCTGTATGTTGCATGGTGGATGATAATGGGTGAAGAACTGGTCTCTTTGTTTTCTAACCACAACGGAGAGGATCTGAATCCAGAATAAGATCGGTTAGTTATTTGTCAGACACTTGCTTCTGGCTCAAGTTATTAGATTCGAAGAGAAATATGTCCTCACACAATGCTAAAAACAAACTTATTTCAGAAACATATTGTCGCATCAGGAAAGGAAGAAAGCATTTATTAATATAGATGTCCAAAACATACTATTGCATCAGAAAAGTGAGCAGAGAGAAGTATGAAAAACGATTTCAGCTCTGGAAATGAATTTTGTGCAGAATAAACCGACTTGGATCCGAGCAGTACTATTTTCAATTTTGAGCTCAAGACATCAGTTGATTGTACTTTTTATTCATTCACTAGACAGTAGTTAATACCGAAAAGAAGTTGACTGCATTACGAATTATCTCATTTTTCTGTAGTGCCAAGTGTTTTCTTTTTCATTTTTTTTTTTTGCTGTAAAAGCATGAAACGGTGGGGAGATGATACAAACAACTATATATTTTGAGAGTGAGAGGTTGGAGTTTCATAGAAACAAACGACAAGTTTATTCCCATCTACGTACCTAACCATATAGAGGGAATCGTCCGAATAGTCCAGATCATTCATCTTGACCAAAAAAATCATAAATACAAACGCACAAAAATTATGCGGGTTTCGATACTTTCAATTCATTCATCCAATGATTTGCAAAAACAACCATTGGTTTTCTTTGTACATTTCACAGCATGATAAATTAGATTTACAGAAGGAATCGAGATGGACACAATGTCTGGCTTGTTTCTAAGAAACCTTAAAGCTTACCCATTTTTGAGATTGGCAAAACTAATACTTCTGTCTCCAGGTTTTCTATATCAGCTCACACTAACGTGTCGGCAACAAAAAAAAATCTCACAGGGTCTTCTTACAAAGGATCAGTCATGAAAGTAGAAGACAAGCTACTTCCTGAATAGATGGGATTGAGACAGTTTCACATGCTGCGCACTATGGTTTTGTCCTCTCCGAGTGCTTCTAATGATCAACTGGCGGTGGAAGTTCCTTCATCTTTTTCGGCACACTTGTTGGGTTGCTCTCTCATTAAAACAAAAGGACAATAGCGAAATGATCATGGGTCTGCACCACGTTAATCTAACAGTACAAAGACCCTCAGTAGTTGACAAAAAGGCGACCACCATTAAACTTTCAGCTAGTTCCATGTGGCAACTTGAAGTCAGAAAGCGTTTGAGATCGCAGGCGTCCATTTACGGCTCATGGGCTTCATCTCTTGAATATTCTCTTGAATATTCCACCCCCTCTATACGAAGCTCCATTTATATTTTTAATTGATTATTTTTATAATACTTTAAATGGATTTGAAAATATAAAAAATATAAAATGTTAAAAAATTATATGAATTAATTTAAAATATAAAATATATTATAAATTAATACAAAAATAATAATATATAAATACTCATTTATATAAATAAAATTACTTATCTTTAATATATTGATAATAAGACATAGATAAGAGCCTTTAAAATTAAAAAACCAGAAAATATAGCATAATATTTGGAATAATCTTGATAACTACTCCGTATGATAAAATTTTATATATTACATTCAGCGGCATTACGTAGAAAAATACTAAATCCACGACCATTACATAGAAAACAAAAGCATGAATTAAAAATTACACGACAAATAAGAAAAACATAATACATGAAAAATACTAAAAGTCTGGAAAGTCAACTTCTCCGTATCCACCTCCTCTATAGTCAGGTATTCCGTATTGGCTTNCGTAGCCGTATTCAGGATTAGGGGTATTAGATGAGGAACCCCTGGTTATATTTCTATTTAAAATTTGTTGTTTAATTCGAAAATATTCGTGTTTTGTTGGATCGTTAATAGCATCCAGATCAACTAGCATAATTTCTTTCTCTTGTCTTTCTTGCTGAAGATCTAACTTTTTCTTATCATTTTTAGCTTTTAACATCATAGCCTAGTTCATCGTCATTCTTTCATTTTCTCGTTGTTCTTGACCTCTTTTTAAAACTTCTAAGATTTCTTAGTTTCCTTTAGCAAAAGCTTCAAAGTTAAGATTCTTTTCAATTTCTTGTCGTCATCTCAACTTCTCTTTCTTCCTTCCAATAGGTCGACTAGTTAAAATGTTGATTGGTGAATGGTCATCGTCTGTCTTCATTTAAGTCGATGACAGGAGAGCTTGAATCAGATCCTTGAGATAAGAGAGACTTTGAAGTTTTTGAAGTTGCAGGAGACATGACGCTTATATTTGCTTATTTCTCTACATCCTTCAAAATCGACCAAACATGATCAAATAGAAATCCTCTTTTCTTTTCTGGATCTTCTACAAATATGATCCTAGCACGTTTATTCTACCAGAAAAAGAAGAAATAAGAATTAATAAAATGAGAAAAATAATTTAATAATCAAGAAACATGTAATTCATATACTTACAATATCAAATTCAGAAGCACCGCTTGGATTGAGGCATTCGACTTGTCGAATGCATCCTCGAAATTTACTGATAGCTTTCATAATTATTTGCATTCGGCATGAGAGAGACTTCAGACTCCTATGTCCAGTGCAAACGTTAAAAATCTTTTCGTGAAATAGAGCTGAAATTTGCTCACATAGCTTGTCTTTCTTTTGATTGGAACCTAAAACTGGATCCTGAGATATTTCAAGCATGTAGCGCATAAAATTTGATCTTCTTCTTGTAAGAATGATTTTCTACGACTGGATGCCATAAGATAAAAGTTATGGAGGAGGAATGAGAAGAGTTGTGATGGAGGAATGAGGGTTGTGCTAGTATTTATAGTGAAAAAATTATGGAGAATCCAATATGGGAAAGAATCTAATGCCAGTGGGAGAATCCAATGTGGCTAGAAAATAATGCAAAAAAGATTCCAATGTGAAAAAAAATCCAATGCCAGTGAGAGAATCCAATGTGGGTAAACGATGTAGAAAAGAATCCAATGTGGAAAAGAATCCAATGTGAGATAGAATTCAATGCCAGTGGAAGAATCCAATGTGGATAGAAAACGATGCGGAAAAGAATCCAAGGTAGGTAGAAAACCAATGCCAGTGGGAGAATCCAATATGGGTAGAAAATGATGCGGGAAAGAATCCAATGTGGGTAGAAAACGATGTGGGAAAGAATCCAATGTAGGTAGAAAACCGACACCAGTGGGAGAATCCAATGTTGGTATAAAACGATGCAGGTGGGAGAATCCAATGTGGGTAGAAACATTATATAATGACACAAATATAGCTATTAACAACTCATCATCAATCTTCTTTCATTTCTCCAAATCCCCTCTTCAACAATGAACTATGGAGCTAGACCATCACATCTTCCTTCTTCTTCTTCTTCTGATGACGAAATCTTTTCTCATTACGTTGAATAATGGGAGGAGGATATGAAACAATGAGAGGAGGAGGATGAAACCTTAGCTCACCTATATGCCTCTAATAACGAAATAATGGCTTATTTATCTAAAGAAGAAGAGAGGCCAAAGCGTATCGGCTCAGTTCCTGGTCATTTGGTAATCAACCGTGGGAGGGAAGAAGGTAGGCCAAAGCGTATCGGCTCAGTTCCTGGTCATTTGGTAATCAACCGTGGGAGGGAAGAAGGTAATTCTCGACTCTACAATCAACCGTGGGAGGGAAGAAGGTAATTCTCGACTCTACAATGACTATTTTTCTGATAATCCCACATACAGTGTAAATTTATTCCGTAGAAGATTCTGAATGCAAAGGAGTCTTTTCCTTCGTATCGTGGACGCTGTATGAGAGCGCAACAACTATTTCGTACAAAATGTGGATGGTGTCAGCCGGTTTGGACTGTCTACTTTACAAAAAGTAACAACAGCACTTTGCATGTTGTCGTATGGTGCATTAGCAGATAGTACTGATGAATATGTAAGGATTAGTGAGTCAACTGTAATTGAATGTTTGAATAGATTTTACAAAGCAATTGTAGAAGTGTATGGAGATGAATATCTTAGATCCCCTAATACCAACGATGTTGCAAGACTGTTACAAAAAGGCGAAGAACAAGGTTTCCTAGGAATGTTAGGACGTCTAGACCGTATGCATTAGGAATAGAAAAACTGTCCAACAGCATGGCCAGGAAAATACTCAGGATGTCGTGGAGGCCTAACTATTATTCTTGAGGCAGTAGCATCATATAACCTATGGATATGGCATACATCCTTTGGCTTGTCAGGTTCTAATAACGATATTAATGTCTATGACCTATGGATAATAATGCACAACATGATTATTAAGGATGAGCATGATGAGCAAGAAGATATTCTCGTTTCTACTCCACCATCAATTTCAAATATTAAAGACATAGGGATGAACGATGTCGAACGGTTCCGACAATTCCTGACCCGGCAAAAGAAATTAAAAAACAAATAAGCACACTTCGCACTTTGAAATGCATTAATTGAATATTTATGGGAGAGACACGGCAATGAAGTGATGTAACTTTTTTTAATTAAAGTTTTGATGTAATTCTAAGTTAATGTGTTTTATTACTTGTTTTGCAATTTTATATTTTGATATTAGTCTCTTTTGAAGGTATCGACGAGACATTTCCAATGATATTATTTTCATTAAAAATATTATATATATATATATGAGATTAATGGGTATCCTTGTCATAGGAGGGGATTTCCTCCTTGACGTCTCTAAAATCATATGATTGAGCAATATTATGGATGATCCGCTCCGTTGAACTTAATCTACATATTCTAAAACCCCAACACACCAAGTTTGGGGTGAATCCGTTGTCGTTTGACCCTCCATCGAGCCATGTGAAAAGTTCTATTCATTCAAAACCGTTAAAATTGATACGAGTGGATGAAGAGTCAAACGATGATGGGTTCACCCCAAACTTGGTGTGTTAGGGTTTTAGAATATATAGATCAAGTTTAACGGAACGGATCATCCGTAATGTCGCTCAATCATGTGATTTTAGAGGCGTCATAGGAGGAAATCCCCTCCTATGACAAGGATACCCTACACCAAGATTTAACGAGGTTCGGCAACTGCCTACGTCCTCGGGAGCCACATAATTAATTTCTTATTAACCAATAAGAAATTACAACTTGAGATCTCTTAATAAATACAAATTAATACTATAGCTACAGAATTAATCTCTCTCTCTTAAATACCCTTATTTAAGTATATCTTAAATAGAGAATATTCCCACAATAAATTCCCCTCAACAAAGTGTGAGCTGGGAAAAATCATGAGAGGAGAAGAAGAAGAAAACATCGTTGCGTTTTTGAGTCCGCCGCCAGGAGAGAAGTTCACGAAAACAAGGGGCACACAAATCTCGTGCCCTGGGGTTTTCCTTTTATAGGGAAACCCTAGCTGAGCTGTCGACAGGCTGTCGACACGAGCTCGCCTGCTTGGAATCGCCTGCACGAGTTCGCCAACCACGAATTCGCCTGCTCAAGAGGTCACCTGCAACGAATCGCTGGACCTCGAGCTCGCCTGTATCTCATTGCCCACGAGCACGCCTGAAGCCACTAATCTCGAGCTCGCCTACGTGTCCTCGACTTCGCCTGAAGCAACCACGATTTCGATCTCGCCTTGCCTGCAGCCCTGCTCGCCTGCAAGGATCTCAAGCTCGCCAGAGTAAAGGTATGGTCTTCACCCTAATTCCAACAATCTTCCACTTGGAGACCAAACCGCCGTTACCAGGCTATCTCAATAAGCATCTCCTCTGTGTGGTTCCGCCCTCATTACCTATGCATGAAGGCCAATTGAAGTTGCGCACAACTCTAGTTTCTGAACGGTCACCGTCTTTGTTAACATATCTGCTGGATTCTTACTTCCTAGAATTTTCTCTAGTTTCAACACGTCATCTTCCAACAGGGATCTGATGAAGTGGTATCGAAGTCTAATATGCTTCATTCTAGAATGAAATGCAGAATTCTTAGCCAAGTGAATTGCACTCTAACTATCGATGTGCAGAACATTCTTCTCATGTTTGAATCCCAGCTCTGTTAACAAACCCTGAAGCCATATCATCTCTTTACTGGCTTCAGTCACTGCAACATACTCAGCTTCTGTAGTGGACAGAGTGATAATTTTCTGTATCTGTGATATCCAACTAACAGCTATAGTTCTAACAGTGAATACATAGCCGGTGGTGCTTCTTTGGTGATCAACTTCACCGCCGAAGTCTACATCTACGTACCCTTGCACTTCCACCTCTTCCTTACCAAAGTGCAAACACTTCTGTGTGGTGCCTAGTAGATACCTCAGAATCCACTTGACCGCTTCCCAATGAGCTTTTTCTAAATTCGACATAAACTGACTGACCACTCCCACTGCATGGCTAATATCTGGTCTCGTACAGACCATTGCGTACATCAAACTTCCGATAGCTAAGGCGTAAAGAACCTTAGCCATACTCTCTTTCTCTTCTTCTGACTGAGGAGATTGATCCTTCGATAGACGAAAATAGCTAGCCAAGGGTGTGCTCATAGGCTTAGCTGATACGAGTCGTCGTGCGAGCACCCTTTGGTCGCAGAATTACCAAAAGGTGGGTTGAGAAGAAGATGACCAAAACACAAGAACAACTCAGTATAAGGCGAAGGAAAATACCTTCTCTAGATTATGAAGAACAAAATATTATAATTTCTCCCTCACAATCTCACTAGAATCGAGAACAACCTCTCAACTCTCTCTCTAAACCCTAATACAATTATTAGAATTTTCTCTTGATCACTTCTCTCTGAGATCTGATTACAATCTAAACCCTAATCTTTTTTATCAGGATTTCACTTAGACCTAAAACCCTTTAGGACTACATCTTGGTCTCTAACCTCCTTGTTTAGAACCCTAAACAATCCCTATTCATAGGGTTTACAACGTGGTGGTAATCTTGTAAATAAACAAGTCCAAAAGGATCAGGAATCCCTGTCAAAACAGAATCCAAAACGAACCAAGAAAAGCCAAATATCGCGATCCGGTCGACCGCCAATCCTGGTCCGGTCGACCGGCCAGAGCGCTTCTGCAAACCCTGCCTTGTGCAGGTTTTCCGGTCGACCGGCATGGGTGCCGCGCTGTTTTTCCTGATCTTCTGCGTTCCACTCCTTCTGACTTCTTTCGCCGTCCTCTATGGCTCCAACCACTCCTTTATTCTCAAGATATCATGAGAATCACCTATCCTCAAGCTCCCATGAGGATTGCTTTTTCCGAAGAGAAGGAGTAAGGACCATACACAGGATGCCCCTTCACCGGATCTGATGCTCTGATACCAACTTGATACGAGTCGCCGTGCGAGCACCCTTTGGTCGCGGAATTACCAAAAGGTGGGTTGAGAAGAGGATGACCAAAACACAAGAACAACTTAGTATAAGGCGAAGGAAAATACCTTCTCTAGATTATGAAGAACAAAAGATTACAATCTCTCCCTCACAATCTCATTAGAATCGAGAACAACCTCTCAACTCTCTCTCTAAACCCTAATACAATTATTAGAATTTTCTCTTGACCACTTCTCTCTGAGATCTGATTACAATCTAAACCCTAATCCTTTTGATCAAGATTTCACTTAGACCTAAAACCCTTTAGGACTACATCTTGGCCTCTAACCTCCTTGTTTAGAACCCTAAACAATCCTTATTTATAGGGTTTACAACATGGTGGTAATCTTGTAAATA